TAGTATTTAACTAACAACGATCTTTCCACGATCCGAATGAAAAAAGTCAATAATATAATTGGTTAATAAAAAAACGGATATATTTCGATGTACGGGAGAATATATTGCGTACTTTTCCTCGTATAATGGAATAGCACGCGAATATATTAATACTGCGCGAAACGAAGGCCTTATCCCAAGATCAACTTTGCGGCAGGAAATTATCCACCTTCCCTCCCTTAACAATTTCGAACAAAACCGTTTCACCCGTCATCCCTTTCCACCAGTTTCTCGTCCGCGGGTTTCTGCAGTCCGAAGCTATCCATTCACTCGCTCAGCCGTTTGCCGGGCATACCGGTGGCGGTTGCTTGTCCGGTGCAAGGCAACTGTAGTTGCGACTGCAATTGCCGTGTGTATCGAGGTAAGGAGCAGTTAGGCGGGGGGAGAGGTAGATAGAGGTTAACAGTTAACCGTATGTATGCACGAGCTCGTGTGCGGCTCCCGCGTGCGGTAATAGCGGTGTGGCTATGGTGTACCAGTCAAACGCATACCGTATCGATTTTAATATCCACGGCAAGGTGGTACAGGCGACTATGAGGCTCGAGGAGCTGCTCCGCTCCGCGCTTCATAATTGCCCCTCCCCATGCCCTCGATACTTCGCCCTCGATGTCTCTCTTTTTCTTTCTTTTTTCCATTCTTCGAATCATTTCGTAAAGCGTTAAAATGCCTGAAGTTGCTTCCGAAGAGCGAGTTACTATCGACGAGCGAGCGTTTCGAACGTTTATTTTCGACTGTCAACATTAAACACATTTTTGTTCGTCTGTTTTTAATATTTTATTTAAACGCGTGGAGAGTCGGCGAGGAAGAAAATTAAATTATCCGTCATGGGGAGGAGGGAAGATTGGAATTGCCAGTTGGTCAAGATTCTCGTTTAAAATTGCCTCGACGAATAAGGTGGAAAGTTTTCAATTAGATTCCAACTTGGGCGCAACACGCTTCATCATCCGTTCACGCCTGTTAACCGTTCGCTCTCCCTCCGTTAATATCGGAAAATCGAGTTAAAACTAGTAGTTGGAGCGAGTAGGACAAAGAGAGAGAGAGAGAGAGGAGGCATTTTGATGCGGGCGGTGTGTGGCGGGAGGCCAATGGCCAGCGGCCTCTACCTTAGCCAAGAAATTTCCATAGATTTCCTTAACGCGTCGATGGAGTGTACGCAAAGCGGCAGACTTTGCGGTAACGGGCGCGTCGTGCATCAGCCACAGGTGCCTTCTCTCGCCTCGACATACTCGGCGCGTTTATGGCGCCGTTGTAAAAGCGTCGTCAACCCAGCGTTCGGTTGCGCCGCGACCCTTTGTACCCTTCTCTGTACGCCCATCACTCTGGATGAAAAGCAAAAGGGTATCGTTGTTGCCACTCGTTGCGTTCCACCGATTGTTGCGAACGAGATCAATAATCTTAGATAGCTAGAGATACCGTAGTATTTTTCTTTTTTTTTTTTTTTTTTTTTCTTTCAAAGTATCTTTCAACAGTGGAAAATTTTACTTGACGTTAAAAATGGTTATATAATGATCTCTGGAGAGAGATTGAGAATTTGGAAGAGAGTTTTTAAAAGGGAAAGAAAAGAAATCGAAGAAAAGTATCTTTTAACATTTGAGAAATTTCGATGATGGGACTGACACTGCTGGAGATACTGGCACGTACGTGTGTAGTATTTTCTTTTCGTTCTTTTATTTTCTCAAATTAGAATGATTATAAAAAAAAAAAAAAAGAAAAGTCATCTTTCAACAGCGAAAGATTTTAGATTTTGACGATCGCTGTTTCTTGAAAGTCAAAGAAGGAAAGAAATCGAAGAAAAGGTATCTTTCAACGGTGAAAAATTTTACTTGACGGACCGCTACTTCTTGAAACTCAAAAATGGTTATAACGATCTCCAACGGAGAGAGTTGTGGGGAATTTAGAAGAGTTTTTGAATTTCATCCGACAAAGCGAAGAGCCAGTTTCTACTTTTGATGAACGGGCGATTCATCCATAATGGAGCCGACACTGATGGCCAATAACAGCTGCTCGACCAACAACTAACAACTTTTTCCGTATAATTGTGCATTGTTCAATAGTCAGCAATATTCGATCTGATAACGCGAGACAACTTCCGCAGAAGAAGGCGGAAGAATTTTTTAAATTCGTATTTTGATTACGATTACGTAAAAAGAATCGAAGAATCACCCATCTTAACTTTGTCTTAACCCGTGAAAAATACTCTCGTGATCTCTCGTGAATAATCTTCTCAAGTGAATCAAGTAAATATTCGATTTCGACGCCTCTTATAAATAGTAATCTGCAGGCAAATGTGATCGAAATGTTAATGTTCGGATCTTTGAAAATGAATCGAACTTCCCTCTTACACGCAGACACGCTTATACAAAAACTCGAAATATTTATCGGATCAAGCCTTTTCAAAATTTTTCTCGATCGAAATTCCACTTTATCCTTATCGGTCTCGAATGTAGGTTAACGAGTAGTGCGGATGTTTAAAATAGTTGTTGGGATTAATCTGGATTCGATGGGGAATTTAATGAGGATTAATCGAGTTGAAGCGCGATGGATGCTTGGACGGACAATGGGGCGAGCGTTGGTTAAACGTTTCCAACTTCTAACTCGTTAAACCTTCCCCTCGTCGACGTGGATGAAACGCGAATTTTGACAGGATGGGAAATTTATAGCGGCACGACAAAGAATTCGTTAATGGTGGATTTCGAGTCTGAGTTCGATGTTGTTCTTGGAAAATATAATTATCCCTTTCCCTCGGCTCGACGTTTTTACGCCACCAATTTAATTTAGAAATCTCGATCAATTGCGACAATGATAATAGAACGATGATAGAAATCGTGACGATTTTCGAAAAGGATAGAATCGTTTGATATTTTTCCACGAGTTTTAATTTACAAATCTCTGACGTAAGAATAAGAAAGGAAGAAAAAAATAAGGGTGTAAATTTATTTGTTCTTTTTGTGCAATTTTTATAACTCCTCCAGAAATTTCACGTTTGTTTTCGAACTCATCCGTCGATTCGAAAGAAATATCTCTAGAATTTGCAGGGTTTAAAGGATTTCGCTCGTACAACGTTGAACACTCGCTTCTACTCCATGAAGCATCGTTACACGTCGAGTGGATGAACTTCAATAATCATCTGTTTTAAAATCGTTTCTGGTTAGAGAGAGGTTTAAGTAAGAGGTTAAGTATCAAAACCTTACCTTACCTTACCCCAGCTTCGACTTTCTCGTTCGTTTCGAATATCGGAGACAAAATTAAAATTATTACCAAACAAATCTCTTTCCGTCAACAACTTGAACTCGAAACTTAAAAACGAAGAGGCGAAAATATCGATCAAAATTCATCGATTTTCTCAATTTAATATCCTCGATATCGAACGATAAAGAACTAAGTATCGATTTCAATAATTTGCGACCGGTGAAACCGAATCGACGATGTTGTTCCATTCGACGCGTCGTGTTTGCTTATCGGCTGTCACGGAATTATAGGAAAAGTTGATCGAACGGACAAGAGCGGCGCACAGTTTTCGCGTACGAACAATGCAAAACGGTACGGGATCGGGGCGATGAGCACCGGCGATAAAACCAATGTCGACAACGTGTTTACAGTTTTATGGGGTGTCGGTTGAATACAACGCGGCGCACAGACCTTAATAACTCTGGCGTGATACGGGAATAGAAATACGGCGGAGATTCGGGAGTGGTGGTGCGCAAGTATTTCCATTCTCTGCGAGTCGGGGGGAGGGGGATGGACAACGGCGCGCGCGGCCAAATTTACATCCGTCCCGGTTTAATTGAATCGTTTTAACGGCCCAAGGGTTCGAAAAACGTTGTTGGACCATCATTGTGTCGTAATTATTGATAACTGAACTGGGGTGAATTAATTAATTAGCGCGTCGATGCGTTGACAGGTTTTACAAATGTCTTGTTCGGATTAATTTTCTCCATCCTTCGAACAATTTCGTCGTGTTCGTTGAATTAAATCTAACAGCAGATAGAAAGAGGGTTTGAAGATTGGGGCTCGAACGGAGAATTGAAAATGTTGACAAGGATTTTTTATATCGTTAAGGAAGTTGATTAAAATTCATATTTTTTTGTTGGACGACCATTGTGTCGATTATTATATATAACGGGATGAATTAATCGATTAACGCGTCGATGCTACCAGATTTCATAATGTTCGGATTAATTTTTTCCTTCCTTCGAAGAGTTTCGTCGTGTTCGTTTAAATTAAATCTAATTCAGCAGATACATCGATGAGAAAGAGAGTTTTGAAAATTGATGTTCGAATTGAAATATTTTACATATTTTCTTCTCCTCTCTAAACGTTTGTGAAATTTTCCAAATTTGATCATTTCATAATAATAGAACGACAATTCCTTTTGCGTTACGATACTTTTACATTAAACTTGTTGACATTCTTGAGATGACAAAGTCTCGCGTCACGTTCCCTTCTATCTCTTCCATCCACGAGACCATTGCGAGGTCACAGTGACATTCGATTTTTCTCGTTGACACTGAACCCTCTTTCCGTCCGTGGAAAAAATATCACTGCGAAATATACTATATAATACACACATATATATATATATAAAAAAGAAGAAGAAGAAAGACCTTACATTAAGCTTGCTCCACGCTATTAAGTTTAAGCAGCTTCCACCGTGGAAAAGGTATGGCGCTAATAGGATATACTCGTGCTGTATTTGTACCAAGCGAATTTAGATTTACCGTCTTCTTAATGTTTCTCGTCGTTTCCTCGCCTTTTGCTTCTTGATTTTAGAGATTGGTGAAATTTTTCCATTAGGACAACTTAGCCATTCAATGCGACACATCGATGTAAAAAATGTTGTCGCAAACAGAATTCTATTTCGAAATTATCGAAAGTTTAAAATTTTTTTTAAAAACTGAATTCCTCTTCTCTCGATCGATATTCGAAAATTTTATCAAATATAAATTCTATATCTTTTGATTACAGAGTCAAGTTTGGTGACGAAATCAAGGATTCTCTTTAAGACGTAGATTGGGTCTGCAGACAGGGTTTATCGGCTGTGCATGTCCGAGTTCGCTGGTGAGTTTCTCCAATTCCGTTTAGAATATATTTCCATATTCATTCATCGACGAATAACCGGTGGTCCAAACTTTGACGAAGAATTACCTTGAAAAAAAAAAAAAAATAAGAGGAACGAAAGAAGATTCGTGGCATGGCAGAAATTATATTTACGAGACGCGCGCCTACCTTCCTTTGTACTTTATGATCAGCCTTGTGACGTAATATCGATAGTTTTAGTTCCCGATACCGCGCTCCCAGCCCGGTAAATATAAACAAGAAATCGCATGTTTGCTTATCATTACGGCTAATATATTATATCGATCGATGAAACACGTAGAAAATATTTTCCTGATTTCTATTAAAACAAATTTTCAAATATACCTAATATCGAGAATGTTCGAAAATATTCGTTCGAGTATTTAAATTTCTCTTCTCTCTGTTCCATCAAAAGAGATCGAAAGATTATTGCGAAATTCGTTCAAAAGTCGGTATTTCCCAAGATTCCTAAAATTTCGCTCTTCAACGATTCCGTTTCGCTTTTCGAATAATTTTCTCAAAATTTCTCGGATTATTCTCAATTTTCGAGCGATCTAGGTTGAAGGTTGGAAAGGTTAAGGTTATAGTATTTCGAGGATTCGGGCGAAGAGGGGTCGAAATTGAAAATATCGGGGCGCTCGAGCGTAATCGGCCGAAAACGAGCGGAAAAGTCGAGAGGGAGAAGCGCGTTGCTTAAAATTCGAGCGCGTTCAGCGAAGGAGGGGGAGAGGGTTTGAGGGGTTTGTAAAACTAGGGACTTTATGATTCGAGATATGATTCGTGGCCGACAGTAAACTGGTTTATTACAGCGTCAAAGGGAACGTTCACGAAAATTGGTCACGCTCGTAATATTATCGCACATCGTAACGCATTAATATCGCGTCACGGTATATTTCATACCTTCTCGTATTACTGTTGTTTATCCTTCTGTGTTGGAAAGTTTATATTTACTCTTGATGTGTATGTATATATGCATATATATATATTATATATTATATATGTATATGGGCGTTGTGTGTTTAGCAATGTGTATTTAGGCAGGATATTTGTCCATTGTAATTATCCGTGTTGTGATATCGATTATGAGACTATCGCGTGTGCTTGGCTATCGACGATAAAATTCGTTTTAATATTCGAATCATTTATAAGTAGAAGAGTAGCCTTGAATCGCTACAACTTGGAGGAATAGCGATTCTTTAAAACTTTAGAACGCATTCGATTTTCAATTCCTTGAATCCGACGAAATCCCTATTAAAATTAGGAAAACTTTGAGTCACCACCGGTAATTTCGAAGATGTATAACTTTCGGTTGGCGAACGAACGATCGTTCAGAAACGCTTTTTCGTTTATCTCGATACGACTTTCAAGACTGTCTTCGTGCAAAGAAAAGGTAATTTTCTAATTATTTATCTTAAAACTCGATTAAACGGTATTGAAACGAGGAAAAAACTTTGAACTCTCGTAACTTCGAAGATAATAAGTTTCGAGTTTATCTCGATATCGTCGTGTAAACAGAAGGGTAATTTTTACCATCGTTTTACCATCTTCCTCCTTGTCGTTCATCCTCTTGTTCGCCCCTGTTCCAAATTCCAAACGCGAATTTTGAAAAAAAAAAAAAGAATGCGAATCACCGAAAATTCTTATATCTCGACAAGCAACTGAGATATCGGGATGAAACAAAGAGTCATAACTTCAATATTGTGGCTTTCTTTAATTCCGACCTTTGACGAGAAAATCGTTCAGTTTTCACGTAGCTTCATGGGGACAATAATTTCCGAACGAATCGATAATTTAATATTCGGACAGGAGGAAAAAATCGGCCAAGTCGACAAACAACAATTAATCCATCTACTCGCAACAGATGTTGAAACTCTTGCCAAACTCGTTAATATTCACCCGATAAAAATTCATTTTTCAAGCGAAAAGAAAAGTTTCGGCCGAAGTTAACGTCCACCTCCACTGTGAAATGAAAAGAAGGACAAGTCGAAAGACTTTTTTACGGCGAATTTTAACTAGGGAGGCGTCGACGACCAGAGACGAACAGAGAGAAAGAGAGAGGAGGGGATCGAGTATTGGATTACGATGGAATGATTGCGCTCTTAATTAAAAGGGGGGAGGGAGTGTTGGAACAAGGCCGGCCGCGTTCCAACCCCGAAAGGATTAACCCGCGTTATGGTCTTATTGTCAAGGTATCGTAAAACAAGGTGTGCGCGTTACCTTGGCGTTAATTCAGTCGGTTAAATCAGTCGTTGAAATATTCATGGTGTTTGCACGTGTCATTCGTTCAACACCGATTCGCGCATGGCTGGGTTGGTCTCCGAGCGCGACACCTAATTTCGGAACAGCGGCGACAAGTCTCTCTGGCGTTAATTCTTCACTTGACGCGAGCCGGGTGTTATTGCCTTAATACCCTTATTTATATTCATCTGTTGAGAGGAGAGTTAAAGAGAGAGAGAGAGAGAGTTCGCGAAAAAAGGAGCTTTCGACGGATTGGATTAGCCACGGTTTTTAACGTTTATTCGCGGGAATTTTCTTAAAAATTATTCTACATTATTCGCACGTACTGTTCTATTTGTATTTTTCGATCTCGAGTCGAGTGGGTACGATACATCGATAAATTTGATGTATCTCGTTTGATATTTGCATAAATATTTCCCCGACAAAGATTATTTGTTCAACTTTAAAGTGGCAATGTCGAGTAGCGGTGGAAAAAAGGGAAATCCGAGAAATTGGCGCTTCGATCCGATCGAAGCGAGTGGGGAAGGAAATTTAAAAATAAAAAGTTGGATTCACGCGTGGCTGGCCTCTAATAGGCGAAACGATTCGTGAAATTCCTCCTCCGCCAACGCTCGATTTCCCCTTTCGGCGAGAAATAAAAATCCTCGCGTTCGACACGGTGTATTTCATTAGCCGTCGCAATTAACCGCATCACGGCGGGAGCAAGTGAAAGAGAGAAAGAAAAAAAAAGAGAGAGAGAGAAGAAGAAAAGGAGAAAAAGAGAGAGAGAGAAGAGGTTGGCGTTAAAAGCGTAAAACTGCGAAAGGTTGTCAAGCACGAAGTTGCAGGTATCGGGTGGGTGGAAGGGGGTAAACGGTTCAGCCCAGTTGGCTAACGCGGCGAGAGAAATCGATGGTTAATGGACAAAGTTGACACCGTTACAACATCCCGAAACTGCTTCGGGAAACTACCGACATTCGTTTCACTTAGGCTGCTTTGCTCGCTTCTCCTCCCTCTGTTTCGTCCCCCTGCTTCTCTCTCTCTCTCTCT